TTTTGTTGAGAGCAGCTCTGGGCCTGCTGGGACTCGGTAAGCTGGTGCAGCTTCTTACAAAGGCACAAGCCCATCGCTGGGGAAGTAAGTCTCCAGGGTCCCTGCAAACCTGTCGCATTCGGCACAGGAACAGACTGAGCGGCAGGGCTGGAGCACCAGAGTTGTTTGAGCAGAGCAGCTCCTCTGGTGGTAGCCTGTTTGTGCCAAAGGAAAGGGGAGAGCTGAATAAACTGAGATGCTGCCAAGACATTTCAGACTGGTCAGTGGGAATTGTCATCTCCAGGGTTTAAGTTTGGTGGCGGAGTTAAGAGCAAAGGAGGATGTTTTCCTCCTGTTTTCCTCCTCTTAAAATAATGTGAAAGGAGGTGAAAAAAGGACTCTCTTCTCGTTAGATGTTGGCTATCTGAGCCTGGGTGATTTCCCATGTAAGTTGGCTCAATTCTTTGTTTACTCAGGGCTTCTGGGTCCAAGAAGCTTTCAGAGCAAAACCAATGATATGGATAGGGAGCGTGAGATAGGTCTTGATCTCTTCCCCTTGTTCTGTAGCATAACATAGCACAGAAAAACTTGGTGCGGTCCTCAGCTGTAATTGGGAGTCTCTCTCTAGTCCACCCATTTAACAACACTGGGAGGGCAAAAATTTTGTGACTACCTCATGATTGTTCATTTCCCTTCTCCAGGTCAAACCCTGTGCTTAGTCACTGGGACACGGGCTCGGTTCTCACCCTGTCGTTGATGCGCGTCTGTCCTTGGTGCAACTTCTCTGCTGCGGATTCCCTCGTAAAGAGTGGAGATAAAGTCCCTCCCTCTTTGGGGAAGCCTAGAGATAGGTTTTTCTAATCTTCCCAGCTGACTTAGGCTCTCAAGTCCTCTCTTCAAAGCTGATAATGAGACTTGGGATTGTTAGAGGTGTTGGTGAACATGACTGTTAAGTCACCCAGCTCTGCTGGGTGCTGGGAGGCTGAGGATTAGAGGCAGTGCAGGGGTGCAAAGCACCGTTACTTCCAGGTGATGTTTACACCCATGGCCTCTAATCAGTGTGTCTCAGGTCCAAAGAGGGCTGTGATTAGGTAAAACCCACATTTCCCAGGCTTCTACACAAGCTCGTTTTATGGTATCACACCCACATCCTTTCTCTTTATGGTTGCAAAGTCATCGGGTGATACTTCTGTATGGAGGCAGAAGTGCTGTCCTCCTCCAGCTGACCTACTTTCCTGGCCTGTCTATTCATGTTTCACTGTAGAAATGCGGCAGGTGAGTGCTGGACTTTGTCTTCCCATGAAAGGGGGAGAAAAAAACCACTTTGATTTCTAGATCTTTGGGGAAAATATTTGACTTTGTTTCCAAAAACCTCTCTGGATCGCTTTCTGCGCTGCCATGTCAGACTAGCGGGAGCCTTGAATGTAACGCAGGATCTGGGGACCTGGATGGGAGACCTGGGGGGTGGGGGTTGTGTGGTCAGGGCTGTGCTGCGCTGGCGGCATTAAGCGATCAGTATGCTCGGGGCTTCCTCTAGCACTCCTGACTTGTATTATTGCCTGGCCTATCTTCATAACATTACAGTTCTACTGATAATGTCTTTCATTTTCAGCTTTAATATTAAAAAACTGCCCCGATTTGGCTTCTTTCAACTGAAATGCTTTGTAGATGGCAGGAAAGAGGAGGCAAAAGCAGGGATTTGGGGAATAAAAAAAAAGAAGAAAAACAAAAAGCCCCCCCAAACCATCCCTCCCCATCCTCTGTCTAAGGTGGAGTATTGTCTTCTGCAGGTGCACGGGCTGAGCAAACAGCTATCATTTGGCTTTTTGGTCAATCAGTAGCAATGTACTTTAAATGCACAACCTGTCTTTGTGAGGGTGGTAAGACATCCAGAAGCTACACTGCCAACTCATTTGCAAAACATATTTGGTTTTGCTGCTGCTGCTGCAGTCGGGGGAGATGGACTGTGGATGCTCCCATCCCGTTGCCTTCAACCACTGTCCTGGCTCTGTGTGTGTGAGTGCAAAGAACGTTTGGATGAATGGCATGTGGACATAAAGGGATGACTTTAGAGTATAGGGTCCTGTAAAAGGGCGCAGGTTTAGCAGGTGTAAGTGGTATGACAAAGCTGTGCATATGGCTGAAGCTGTAAAGAGGAAAGAATTGGTGCTGTAATACAAATACATCGTTGTTTAGGTTCTACCCCAGAATCTGTGAGTTTACTAAGTAACTAATGAAAACGTGACCTGCCTCTTCCCTGCTTTGCAGCTAAGAAAGCTAAGAGAGGGGTATGACTTCTTATAACACTGGGCTGGAATTCGAAAGGTTGCGGTTCAGTCTTGTGCTCTGCTACTGACTCGGTAAATCTGGGGCAGATTGTTAGATCTTTGTGCCTCCATACTGGCTACTGATGTTAATTATTCCTTTTTCCTTGCTCACTGTATATCTTGTTGATTTAGTTCCCACACTTCTGGGGACGGAGGTAGTCTCTGACACATGCCAGGACTTTGCCTTAAATGAAGAAGAAAAAAAAAAAAGGAAAATTTTCATTCTGTGATCTAACTGACTGCCATAAAAACTGCTGGGGGGCAACCTAAATACAAACTCAGTGTGTGGGATTTGGTGCTTTGGTACAACGTGAACCTGAGATGCTGGAAGGAAAACGCTGCAGATCATCCTAGAGATTAATACATTCATGTGGGATCTCTCTGGAGGGCCAAGTTCAAATCTCGACTGCAAGACATGCAGGACCTTTCCCTGTGGCATGCCGCCGACGGCAGACTGTTCCACCCGACTGTTCACGCAGCCGCCAGCTCGCTTGCGTGTGTGCCGAGAAGTGGGTGGGCAGTTCTGGAGACTGGTGGGGCCTGGGTCTGGCGGAGTTGGTGCTGCTTCAGAGTTACTGCACGATCTCGGTCTTCCCCTGCACAAATGCAGCTGGCTGGGAGGGAGATGGGACTTGCAACCTGTCCTGCTGACGTGTCTGGGAATAGCAGGGCATGGCGCTAGTCAGAGCGAATGTCTGCTGGCAGATGGGCGCACGGGGGTGGGAGTGGAATAGCAAGAGAGAAAGAGTGATGGGAGGGTAATGAGGTGCCTTGGCAGAGTTGTGAAATGAAGGAATCTTTACTGCTCATATTCTAACTGCTGTCGCATGTAACTGGTGCTTCTGTCACCAGTTCTTCCATGGAGTCTCTTCTGCCCGAAGTACATAAGAACAAGCCCTGTTGGGTTTTGCTGCCTCCTGTCCAGGCTGGGAGGGGAGAGCAGAGCGACGGGACTTTTGTTGTTTCAAAGCCACAAATCCCGGATGAGAACGCTTCTGAGCAGGATATATGATCTTGGCCTCCAGCGCTGAGGGTTTGCAGCATCAGACTAACATTTCCAGGAAAATCAACATGAAGAATGAAGCGTCCCGTGGGGAGGGAGCTTGTGACTCTATTTGTGCTGTGTGGCCAGGTACTTCCTAGCTTCGACGGTGGCTTGGCAAGCTAATGCTGTCTGTGGTTTTGGAGAAGTTACTTAAAGGGTAAACTGAGGCAGGAGGATTGATAAAATTCAAATTATATTGAAGGGCTGATTCAACACCTGGGATATGAAGTGCTGAGAAAACTGAAGCGCTGCCGTCACTGGCTGACTCTATCCTTTCCCATCTGCTTTCCAATTGCCACTGTTTCATTGTATTTACTTTGCTTTTGGTTATGGATGGTTGCAAGCCTCTGCAGTTGTCTCCGAGTGCCAGTTTTGTTAACAGCCTGGGTGACAGGGTCATGGCAAGATAAGATCGGAGGCAGCTTGTGCTCTTTAAAACCTTGAAATGCCACTTGTAACTTTGCAGAGTTCCAGGATTGCTCTTTGGATAAAGGCATTGCCTGGCAGGCTCTGCCCTCGGCACGTTAACTGTCTGCTCTCGGCACTGCTCAGCCTGTGGCAGCCACAGATCTGTGCTCTGGATCTCTTGATAAATACAATGCCAAGGCAGGAACCTGGGCTCGCTTAGCCGAATTCAAAGTAACGTGGAGTGATTCTGAGTATGAGGGACAGTCGCTTGGCTTAAAATGTCCCCTGGAACATAAATAATTTTGTTGTTCTTATAAATAGCACCAAGGGGCTTTGTAACCTTTCTTAACCAACACACTTTGGGCAAATTGCAGAAGCTTTGCATGCATGTTGATTCACAGGCAGATGCAACGTATGCTCACTCAAATATGGTGCTTGTTTGTGAGATTTTTTTTTTTTTCTTTTAAGATGCTGCATCTTTAACAAGCCCTTGATAGATGAGAATTTGATGCTTGCAGTGACAAACAGTCTCTTCCTTCCTGCCCATATGCAACATCATGCTTTCAGTTTCCCCAGCATTATTATGGGAGGATATTGATTTTAAATCTGTTCGGGGACGCTGTAATTGTATATTAGATATTTTGTGTTGGTTTGTAGGGCTGCAGTAATGCAAAAGGCTTGAGTGTTTCCGTACAATCTAGAGGGGGAAGATTGCTAAGGACCTTGAGGTTTTGAAGGAGGAGGGGGGGGAAGGGGGGGGGAAGAGAGAGATTGAGAGAGAGAGAGAGAGAGAGAGATACTGTGGTAGGAAGATTCAGAGATCTGTTGTGCTTTTTTTTTGTGTGTTGTTTTTTTCCTCCCCTTTCTCTCCCCCAGTTGCTTTGCATCAGGGCATGAAAGGAGTGGAAACACCAGGGGGACAAAAGGCAACAGAACAAATGATGAAACTCAGTAAGGAAATCAACTGGATTCAGAATTTATAGCTTTAAAACGTTGCATTGATCAGTGTGTGAATAGTCATTATGTGCTTTTGGACTGCGTGATTAGGAAAGCAGATCAAGGCTCTCAAGATGATGATTTTTCTTACTTTCATTTTTTTTCCTCTGCTTGTAATATATGTGTGCGTGTGTGTGTCTGTGTGTGTGAGAGAGAGAAGCAAAATACCAAAGTCTCTCTGGTTGCTTCTGCAAAGAGGAAAGTACAACCTTATCTGATACTCAGGTTTCTCATCTCTCTTCTAGATGAAATTTTAGGCAAGAGAAGAGTATGTTCTCCCAACAGCAGCAGTGAGTGTCCTTTAGAAAGCAAGAAAGCCAGAAGTGAGTCCCCAAAGGGTAAGTGCTGCTTCTCCCTCCCCCATCCCCTTCCCCTTTCTTCTCCTTTCTTAAGAGTGGAACTTAATTGAAATTAAGGAGGGAGGGAAGGGAGGGTTGCAAGAGGCTGTGGTGTGGGAGCTGTTAAGTATCCGGCACTGAGGGTGCATGAAGGAGGCTACCAGTGCACCGTGCTTTCTTTATCTAATCGGAGGGAAGCTTGCAGTGTGAGAAGGGGATTGCCTCTTAATTAGAATAATTGCTTTATGATTAAAAAAGGCAAGCTGCAGCTTTTGAGGTGGATTTTAGGGGTGTTTCTACTTTTCAGGCAGAATGTCTTGATTACATGTTTAATATAAAAGATACACACAGGCTTATCATGCTGGCATCTGTTCCTTTAAAGGGAAAAAAAGGAGCCTAGCAGGGAGAAGAGGGCTGCCTAGTTCTTTCTTATGCATTTATGGCACTGTTCCTATAGAGATGGAATCTGCAGAAGGTTTCTCTTTATAGGGATTTTTTTTTTTTAATCTCCTGATTTGTCTTAAGGTTCTTTCCTATAAACATGATTTTTAAACTTTCTTTATGACTGGCAAAGTGGAATGGGTAATGGAGCCTGCAGTTAATGAGTTTGTCTCAAGGTTGCTTAAATGAGGTTTTGCAGGCCGTTCACTTAAAGGCTTTGTTGTTAAGTTCAAACTAATTAGCTGTCAGTAATACCCATCTTGATCACAGTGCCTAACTGCAGTCTTTGGCCACTAAAAAAAAATAAAAAAATAAAAGCAGACTAGCTGTCTGAAGCTAGATCCTGTTTCATGGGTTTGGAGTCCAGCAGCTGAGACTCTCCAAGGTGTATATTCTCAATAACCAATTCAGGGAATCTCAAAGGGGACTTTTTGTAGCAGTTTGTCCTGAAGCCTTCTTGAACTACATACCTTATATTATGCTATATAAAGATATATTGTAGGGACCTGTACTGCATCCTAATTTCACGTAATGTTCCTGTATATTGTCTCTTCTTGACTCCTTGTCCCCAAATTATGATCTGAAAGGCAGCATACTGAGAGGATGTTGAATGCTAGTGTCGCTTAATATATAATATTGCTAACACTGCCCAAGAACGTACTAAATCTTTTCTTTCGTGTAACCCTCTCCTGCCTGTTAACTCCTTAATACAAGTAGAAGTGCTTTAGCTTTTTACTGGGCTTTTCTGAAAGGTATAAAGAGGAACCCTATATACTGCTACTCTTTACCTGTTTTCCTTGATTTTTTTTTTTTTTCATCTGCCCTATTCCTGTTATCCTTGAAATGCTTCTAGTAGATGTGCGCAGGTAAGTTCCAGCAGGATGCTTCTATAGATTCTGGAATGCATTTGTTATATAGGGGCATGAGACTCCTGTAACACACTTGATACACCTGCTGTCATCTTTGCCGTTTCTGCGGAGTCTGTATCCTTTGTAATTCCAAGACAGTGCATGCTTAGGAACTGAATCCAGGTAGCAGCAACCTATGTGGCCTGGCTGAGAACGGGCTAAACTTTAATCAAGCCATCTGAAACCAAACTATTGCGTTTGGATTCACCCTAATAAAGTGGCTGAACTTGCACAAATTGATGTTTTTGCCATGGGAGCAGCAGGGTTGAACGATCCCGTTCCGTTTCTTTCCTCTGGCCTTCCCACCATTTTTGTGTAGGTGAGTGGGTTGAGCGCAGTGTGAGGCAGATAAGCAGCCCTTGGCTTTGCAGTATGCACTCGGGGTCTAAATACTGCTCCTTAACTCTGAATGACTCAGGGATTCCCCCAGCTCGTTAAGAGAGGGCTTCCTAGGAAGCCCCGAATAAAAGCAAACTTTCATTTTCTACTCCCACTTTTTTCTCAGAAAGCCTTCCCTGCCCTTTAAAAGAGCGTGCGACAGAATGGAAATTCTGAGCTGGGCCTTTTACTAATCTCCCATGTTACCTGATATTTATTGTATTAGATCATTGGGGAACCCCTGTTCTCTCCAACGTGGTGGCAAGCATTTTAAGCCTAGGCTGTGCTTACCGTCAGAAGAGCGAGGGGCTGAATAGGGCCAGAGACTTTGGTGCTTTGGGGGCCTTTATCTATGAAAAGGGGGTCAAAGTAGGGGCTATAGCCAGTGTTTCTGTGTCTTAAGCCCCAAACAGCAAGAGCACCTGGCGGCTGAGAACTCCCAGGAGACTTCCCATCCTGCTGGCGGTCAGGCAGTGCTCCGGTGGCGTGGGTACCGTGGAGGGCTGGGAGAGAAATGATCCCTGTGTTCCCAGCTCTGTACTAAGGAACCGGTTGGAAACAGAAGGATCTGCATTGTGCGACAAGCTATTTTCAAGCACAGTGGACCCTAGTGGCTAGTTACCTGGAATTTGGGAACTGCCGCTGTAGAGTAGTGCTGTAAAGTGTGAGATTGTGCTAGAGCCCCAAGCTTGGCTGGGACCCAGATGCTGTGCGTGCAGTTTGTGATTTAGGAGTTGGAAGGAAAACAAGGACCAATTGGAGTTTCGTAGCCTGTGCGGCCCCACGCTGTCCTCCGGCAGGAGCCAGCTCTGCAGCATCTCCCCGGGATGCACCCTTCCTTTTTTTTCTCCGGCCCAGCGGCGTGCCTTGCACGGGTGCTGGTCCTCCGCCTTTTTGCACTCTCCTGCGGTGGTGCACAGCTCAAGGTGGGGACTGTCCCCCTCTCCGTTGCACGCTGGCCCTGGATGCAGCTCTTGCTCAGGGCACAGCTGCATTGTCTCCGAACCAGCCTTTTGAAGAGGAGAAGTGACCCCGTGCCCGCGGCACATCTCGTGCTGCTGTGGCTGTGCCTGACAAGGCAAGGAGAACAGAGGCAGCCAAGTAAATCACTCCTTCTCTCTGACTGAGTGAAAAAACACCTGTAGGGCTGGAAACCCTTCCAGCGGGGAAGCAGTAACCTTCCCTTCCCCCCTCCCCAATGCTCGCAGCGTTCACACCGGAGATCAAAAGAGAGCCCTATCTCAGTGGAAACAGGGCCGCGCCAGCACTGCTGTCAAACAGAGCAGAACGTTCTCGCGTCTAATATGGAAATGCGAGCATATCAGAGGCTCGGAGCGAGGGTTGTGCTGGCAGGTCACGGAGGAAGCTTTCTCCCCGGGAGACAATTCCCCAAGTAAAACCCTCGCTCCTGCGGCAACGGCGTGTCTGGAGATCTGCTTCTCCGATACCTTGAGATATGAAATAAAACTGAACGGTTGCAAAAAGAGAAAATCAAAGAGTAATAGGAAAAAGAGTATTTTGGTTCCTATTTGAACTGCTGAAATAAATCTGGTAGAAGCCTCATCATTTGGGAAGATTTGAAACTAGACTGGACCAAGTGCTGGAAAACACACGTAGGGAACAATATTGCACTCACCCCCTGGGGCGGGCTGATGAGCTCATACGCTGCTCCTTCTGCCATTCTCTTTTCTTTGCTATTGTAGATCATTTAAAACAAAACAAAATCTTATTGCATCTTTGGTTAACGAAGCAGACCGGAACCGGAGCTGGACTACAGCTAAGCAATTCAGATCTAGCCTTTGTCAATCTGTTCCTCTTCTTGGGGGGGAAATATCCATATGTTGATTGGTTTGGCAGCGGTCCAATTAGGCCAAATGAAGAAACAATATTTTGCCCCATTCTTGCTAATAACTTCGCTGCCCCCCCCAAACCCCCACTGCTGAATATGGTGAGAGTGGGCACGGATCCTCTCTGCCATGGCAAGCGACGGCTCGGGCAGCAAAGACCCTAAAGCTACTAAGACCTGGCTTTGAACCTGGGGTGAGATGCTTTTGCAACAGGCTCCTTAAGCTTTTACTGTGGTTCAGGAAAGGGAGCCTCGGCCTCTCATGGGTTTGTTGTAGCAAAGGAGAGGAGACGGCCAGGCTGGGTGCTCCTGTCTCGTCTGGGATTGCTTGGGGAGTTCAAGCCTTATAAAAGCTTGGTGGAAAGGTTGTGCGGCAATGACGCGTCCTTCAGGCTGAACAGAAAACCTGCGTCTTCCAACAGCCTGAATTCCCTGTGGCTCCTGCCATCGGGACCCTGCAGTGTTGGCGTAGGGTGGGAGAGACGGGCTCCCCTTGGCTTGGCAAACAGGGAGGCGTGCTGGAGAGCGTGAAGGCCCAACAGATGCTTGCCTCGGCTGTGCCTTCACAGTGACCGTGCCAGGGTCCATTTCACACCTGGCGGCTGGAAGAGATTTGGCGAGATCAGTCTCCCGCATTACCCCCTGGTAATGACAAAAGCAGACAGCAAAGCTTCAGCAAAGCTGGAATTATCGCTGGCTGAGTCATGTGAAATCTTCCAAGTTTTAAGTGTGGAAATCCAGCCTTTCCCTGGACTCCTCCTTCCTCTTAGCCTCCCCTTGCCACCCCCATTCTCCCTCCCCTCCTTGCACCTGAAATCTGCTCTGCGGCTGATCGGATAGAGTTTATGGTAATTAAGTGTTATTAAATCCCCCCCTTATTCTTCCCCCCTCCCCCCTTCTCTAATGACACAGCTGCGGTGGGGAAAAAAAAAAAAATAGGGGTTTTTCTAAATCAGGTCTGTGGCATGCGGCTTTGCTCCTTAGACCTTTGGTTAAGAGCATCAGAAGGGAACTGAAACAGTTGGTGCACTTCTGCGTTCCTGGGGGAGGTGGCAGGAGCGGCAAGAGAGCGGAGGAGGATGCGAGAAGCTGGCCTGCGGAGTGACTTTGTCGAGAAGGGGTCGTGGAAGGGAATTCTGTCCCCCAGCCCCCTGCTCCTTCCACTGGTGTCTTGCAGGCTTGGGTACCGGAGGCAGGGAGTGGGAGGGAGCAGGCATGGCATGGTTGTCATCTTGTGCAGCCTCCCTCTTTTCAGGTCTGGTTTCTAAGTGAGATGCACGCAGTACGGGGTGGGGAGCCAGCTGCTGGTACTAGCTAGCTTGAAGCAGGCCACGAACCTGTGATTTACACAGGAAGCCTGTGGTCCTGGCGATGCAGATACATGTCACTGGGGTAGAGATCAGTGGTTGCAGATATGGCCACAAATTGCTGTGCTGATTGAGAATCCTTGCTGAGCTGGACGGCTGACCTGAAGTCATTTCCCTTTTGCAGAGGAAGACTGCCTCGGGAGCCGGTGATGCAACCCTTTTTTATTGAAACTTTGTGCAGCTCAGGCTTTATGATTCTCATTAGCCCTTCCTACGTTTTGGGGAGGAGATGGCTTCATTACAACATGCCACCAAAATCTCCAAAATCTGAGCCCCTGTATGCTTGGTTGTGTAACGAGTTTAGTGGCAGACAGCACTTGCCGCTAATGGCCTCTTATTCTGGCCAAGGCAGAAGTGAACCAGTCCCTAAGCTACTGTGGCAGGGCCACGTTTTACAGGGACTCGTCTCTTGGACTGTATTTGTTTGCCACAGGCTGTCTTTTCTGGTAGTTGTCTTAGGGGCCTTTTCTCACCCGAGAGAGATGCACAGCTCTTTTCCCAGCAAGACGTCTGGTACCGGCGTATTTGTCACAGCGCTGATGCTGGTGTAAAGTCAGTGGCCTGTGCTCAGAGCCACCACCTTGAATTTGGAGCCAGTCTGGCAGCAGAGTCACCTGCCACGAGCCCCGAGGGACTCTGCGAAACGAGGTGGATGAAGGAGCACAAATCTGGGGCACACGGTAGGGTGGTCTTGTAATTCCCTGAACGCAGTGGTGGTCTTGTGACTGCAGCTTGGGGGGAGCCCTTCCCGCTCCCTCCCTTCCCTTCTCCCTGTTTAGATTGTTACTGGGAGTTCCTCTCCGAGTAATGAAAAGGTTTTGCCTGTGGGGAAGATCCAAGATAAAATAGTGTTAGAGCAGCCACCGCCAAGGCAGAGAAGGTAATTACTCTCCGAGTTCTGCTTACAGTAAACACAAAGCCTCTGTGGTTTTATCTCCCTGATTGTTAGACTGGGTTCCCTACTGCCCAGGGAGCAGGCAGGGCCTTCCTCAAAGCGTCTCCCTCCTGGGCTGTGCAGTCGTTCCGGGAAGATGGAGAGGTCGGCACGTTGGGTGTAATTTTAATGGCCTCGGGGTGCTTAGCCACACGGACAGATCTGAAACAACCTGCTTTTGTGACTTCCCTCCAAGAGCTGGGCAGGTGGACTGTCATCACTGTCTGTTGTGCGGTTGTCAGCATCACCTACGCTGGGTGCTTGAACATCTCTCGTGTTGTTGTGTCCTTGTGGGTGTTCAGAAAGGCGGGGGAAAGAGGTGCGTGTCGGATCAGGTATTAGTCGAAAAAAAGAACTCGCGTCCCCTAAGATGAAAGGGTGAGAACTCGGTGAACTCTTTTCATCCTGCCTGTCCTCTTTGCCACCTTGGGGTAGAGAGCTCGTTGGTAATTTTGTGTTATTATAATGCAACGCTTGTTGCTTTAGGGGGAAAAAAAAAAAAAGTTGTTAATGAGTTTTTTGGGTGCTGTGGCAATTGGAGCTGTAGACTTTCCTGTATATAAGTGTGCCCGTGTTTGGAGGTGTAGCAGGTTGTAGGTGTGTCTTGACCAGATATAATGGTACATCTTGGAGGACAAGGGCGGCTGCATTTGGCAGCTTGGTACGTCAAGTTCAGTGGGTACACTAGAGAGTTGTGCAAAATTGTGGTAATATCCCTCTACCTCCCTTTCTCTTTCTTTTGCATTCTCCCTATACTTAGGTGATTTTGCACTGTATTTCTTTCTGGAAAAAAGACCAAATCTTTCTGCTCTCCAGAAAACTCCCACACGCCTCTGCTTGAGGACTCAGTGACTCAGATGACCCCAGAGGAGCACTATAGACGCATGATGTCAGCACTGAATGAACACGGCACGTTTGAAGAGCAGCAGCAACAACGTCTCTACCAGCTGGCCAACAGCATGGCAGTGCCCAGCCATGGAGGTACAGGCTCTTACAAACAGGAGGAGGGACTTGCTTTGCCATTTGGTATAAGTCTTGTAATATGTCCCTAACCCCCGTGTGCACTTGAGGAGGATTTATGGGCTGCAGTGTTGCCTGTTTATCGTGCAATGGATACAGGTGGTGCTAAAGAGTATCCTACAGACCGTTTCTCCCACCGTCTCTGTGGGGGCATCTACCCTCAGCCGTCTGTAAATGCTAATACCTTCTGTAGCTATCTGTGGGGGCTACACATTTGTTTACCGGAATAGATTAGCTGCAACATCACTACTGTGTGTTTTGCAGTGGCGGTGTGTGGGGTCCTTTCCTTCCTTTGTTTCAAGAGCTCACGTCAATCTGAAAATTCAGAATCTGTGGTATGTGTCTTGGGTCATAGTGTGGAGCAAGGGAAGCGAGTGCTGGCATAATGGAGGGGGGTTGTGAGATGTAGGCAGTGCCAGATGCTCCTGCCATTTAGTGATGGGATCTGAAACAGCAAGACGTTGTTGCAGGATTTACTTAAGCATTGATAGTGCTAGGTTTAGAAAGTTTCTGCAATAGTTGCTACACGCAGACATAGCATAAATCGGTGTTAAAGACCTTTCACCTTAATGAGAATTAAATGTCTTACGATTTTACGGACAATTAAAATATGCAGATGAAGCTAAGTTGCAATGAAGACAGCTTAGCAGGCAAATGCTGAAGTCGGTGGGACAGGTTCATCCATGGTGTCATCTATTGAAAGCAATTATGTTTACATCACTAAGGATTGATCTGGTCCTTCACTTAGCCGAAACCAGATACGCTGTGGAAGAGCGAGGGAAAGGGTTGCTGAAAGGGAGAGAACTTCTTCCATACCCAGTACATGCTCACTTGGTGAGGGCTTCCTCAGAGCATTGCCTTAAGGACCCTGTAGCTTCCAGCACTAAAAAATTGTCCCCTGACCTTCCAGGATGACGTGGTCCTCTGAGGTTGAGTTGGGCACTAGGGATAGCTGAGCCCCCCCACCCGGGTCCTTCTTTATTTAAGGCCTGTTGTGTGCACTGCAGATTGTGCCTCTGTACCTGCCTGTCTGCTGTTTCTAGGCTTTAGTGGCACAGAAGTATTTCTGCACCGATATCCACGTTCAAGGGAAGATGCTGCCATTCCGCTCTTTAAAAGGAGGCTGGCGCTTGTACAGTTATGTTAATGCAAGGAGGGGAAAATCGAAAACCTGGTCGTGAAGCAGCTTCCTCATTAAGAGATACCGTTGTCCACTGCTGCTGCCTTGTCCTGGGGCTGGAGCGGTCTCCTGAGGGGGTAAGGGTCCGGCAGGACCAGGATCTAATGGGGCCTGTGTGAATTGAAGGGTCGCCGATAGGTTTTGCCTCGGTTGCGGAGGAAGCTGGCTGTATCCAGCTCGGCTGCAGCATCCCGCGCTGTGCCTAAAGGGGGCACTAGGCAGTTACAGGTCCTGCCCTGGGAACCGCTTGGCAGAGCGCGGGAGCCACAAGCATCCCTCCGCAGGCTAGAGGCCCCTCGGCCCACTTCACCTTCCCTCAGGCAAGCAAAGCCTGCTGGCGCTGGCTCGGCTCGGGCCCCGGGAAAGCCGGGTATTGTACCCGATTCCTCTGATGCAGGAGTGAGGGAAGGAACTCCGCTGTCTGGAGCGGGCAAAGGCGGGGAGATGGAAGAGGTGATGCCGTTCCGGTCTTGGAAGCGGAGGGTTGAAGCGTCACTGAAAAGCAGTGTTACGCAGGAATCCGTAGCCCCTCTGCCGCTTTCTACCCAAGGCGTGGTGTGCTGCCACGTACCTGCCTGGGTGATCCAGGGGAGGAGCGCGAGCAACATCGGCGAAGCATCCAGCAAGAGCTGGAGCAGAATCTCCAGTCTAGAGTGTGAATCCCCAGGGCTCCTTGTTAGGTTAATGAAGAGGCTGTCTTCTTTTCCACTCTGTTTGATTCGATTGGCTTCTCTGGGGGCAAGAAGGCGATTCCTTGCGCTGTGGAGTAAGGATTTGCTTATCAGCAAAGCCATGGCGTAAGCCTGTGCTGGGGCATGCCGTCGTGAATAGGGCACATGCTTCTGGGTGTGGTGTTGAGCTGTCCCAGACCTTTACAGAGGTGCAGAGCTCCTGCAAGCATGGTACATAGGTACGGGGCAAAGCCATGCACCGTAGGGCTGGAGTTTCCACGCGTACATGCAGCGAACACAAGCATGGCACGCGAGAGGACAGTATGTAACGTGCATCGCGCACAAAAGGGTAACGCATGCAGACACGTAAATGCTGAATATTCGACCGTGACATGCAGGTCTGCGTAGACCATGTTGAATACAACAGAGCGTGGACTCGGCACAAAACGTGTTACGGGTACCGGTATCGTAGCAGACGGTCATGATAGACCACTTAACCCGGGCACCGGATGGCTGCTGGACATGCGGAACGTGTACATCCAGGCAGAGTGTGTGCTGCAGAACAGCTGGTATCACCCCCTTCTCCCCCCATGTAATGAGCAAAGTAGCTCATTACATTAAAAGCCTGACGTATTTTTTATGATTATGATTAAATTGTCTCATCAGCATTTGTTAGGTGAGGGGTCACACTGAGGTTTTGGGGTGGGCAGGGGGAGAAAAGGAGTCTGCACAGACTCTCTGGTGTAACATTGACAAGACAAAACTTCGTGTATTTTGGATTGTCTCCACACCACAGGGCTCTGGTTGGGCTATAAATTATTAGTGCCAGTACAAAGCGCAGTTTATCTGCGGGCTCACATGGAGGCACCAATAACATTAATAATTTAAAAAATGTTAATAATTTAGAAATCTTTTTTTTTTAATTGCTTTTCAACCCCCCTCCTCCGCCCCCATTCTCCCAGTGGCATTCATCCCACATTCTGAATTCAGTCTGTCTGCGTGCCTGGAACCTCCATCCGCCAGCGTCCCACTGTCAATCAATCTGATTTCCCAACTGTCAGAGTGCAGGATTGTAAATAACAGATCCTCGGGGGGGGGGCTTGTGTGAGGGGGTAGGGACGCAGGGGAGGGAAGGAGGGGAGAGAAAGAGGAGAGGAGAGGGTGTGCGTGTGGGGGGTTGTTGCGGTCATTCAGGATCAATGCGGCTTCTGGAATTGGCTGCGTGCCAGACTTCTAAATTACAGGCACTGTGGCAATAAGGAGTGACCTGGGTTTTTCAGATAATTAATTTATAAACATTGAAGGTGCACGGTGCCTGGCTCGCAGAATTCTCTAGGCTTTTTATGTGCGATCTGATGGGGTTTGTTGTTTCACTATTTTGTACGTACTTTTGCAGTTCACAATTGTACATCATTTTAATGTTTGTCCCCGCAGCTGGGGGCGTGGGGATGGGGATTGTGTGCGCGTGAATGTAGCTAGAAATGTTCAGGTACCAACGTCCTCCTTACTGCCAGCAAAAATAGCAGCTGTATTAGCGTTTCCACTCCCACTTGCAGTCCCATCATGGGGCTTCAGCCCCGACCATCATCAAATTATTTGATGAAGCGATTGGTGAAGCTCAAGCTGGGCTGGGCATGTCTTGGGGCTAATAGGAATATGGATGGCTGGGATTTCCAGAACCAAAGGAAAACAGCATGGTGGTATAAAGGAAGGCAAGGAGATGGAAAGTGTATGGTTACCAGGGTCATGCAACACTCTTATATTAACCTAGCTTTATGATCAGTTGTGGGGGGAGGACTAATATGCCGCTGGATGTGGAGCGGATTGAAATCTCAGTATGCGAGTTGATCCTGACCGGGGTGTGTTCATTAAGATAAATCTTCCTCTCCTCCTCTCCCCAGCTGTGTTTTGGCTTCTTTTTGCAGAGTGGTACACGGCGAGCGTACGAAGGAGGTTTCCTCTAAGTGCGCATCTGTGTGTGTGTGTGTGTTTCCCGTGTATCATGTGAATGGCAGCAGAGGTTTTGTTGTGGGATATAAGCAAGTTGCGTATAGGGTGTTTTCAAATAGGTGTAGGAACTAAGGGACTCCTGACACTTAACTGTAAGAGAGTAGCCTCTGTCAGTGCAGGTGGTACGGGTATCACTAGACCTTCTCATAGGTCTGTCCAGCTGCGTTGTTCCCTGAGAAGGCCAGGGCAGTAGCAAGCCAGCTGTACTTGCATCGCCTGCTCTTCCTTGGAGTACGGGGTGATCCCCGTTAACGTGTGCTTGTGGTGTATCTGGCCATGCCTGCGTTGCCCATCGCACGGCACTTGCGTGGGCAGCTTGTCTACGCTGACGCCCACCCTGGAAAGACTATACATGTGTACAGCCTGTCATTGCACAATCCGCCTGTGTAACAGGTAGAGGGTTCCGCAATGCTAATGCGGCAGTGCAGGTTTAACGAGGGGTGCGTTTCTTTCCGACCTGCAGCCGATGGTCTGATGAAAAGCGTTGTCCCTCAGGCTGGAAGGGGCCCCGTTCTGGACCCCATCCTCATCTGCTCTGTGGCCCAGCCCTTTACTTCCCCGCAGCAGAGCTGCGCTAGGTGGGGACAGACCTGCCAGGGCCAGCTGTCACCCCTTGCCCAGGTGGGGGGGCTCCTGGTGGGGGTCACCACGCTTAGGAAAACAGCCCTTGGGTGCTCCGCAGTGCTGCGGCCCCACTGCTAGGCTGAACCTGGTAGCAGAGATGGGTGCTCCCCGGCCAGGTGAGTGGGGGGGAGGCCGAAGGGTAGGACCCACCTGGGGAAACGGCCCCCCATCCCCTGCTTTCGGCAGCAGCGGGAGATGCTGGGGCAGAGCGGGCTTGACAGGCGAAGATGCTGGGCTGTGGTTTGGCAGGAGGGACACCCAAACCAGAGCGCTGCCCGCGGCTGACCCTGCGGTCCCCGGGGTTT